GCCAAGCTGGCGGGCCCTGCTAGCTGATTTGCCTCCGTCGCTTGCTCTCCGACAACAGCGTTACAAAAGGTGGGAACTCACATAATCTTTTTTTTTTCTTCCTTAAATTTTAGATGTATAAATGCAGCCCAGAGAGGTTGAATAGCTTGCCTGGGGTCACACAGCTGAGTCCTGGCTGACTCTGGAGGCCCGCTTGGCTGTGCTGCCTCCCAATCACAACCTCCACCCAGGCTGGCTGGCCCAAGCCCCTGGCACGGCTTCCCAGGGGGCAGGGAGGACACCCCAATAGACCTAGGCCCACCAGACACCAAGTGTGAAAACAGCCCAGAGCCAGTACCCCTGGAAAGCCGGGCCTCGGGCTTACAGTGGCCCAGGCCCACCTCTGCAGGACCAGTGTCAGGACTGTGACCATGAATGGAGACAGATGCGTGTCAGGGAGACCTAGAAGACCCCCCCCCCCGCCCCTGCCAGAGCTGCATTAGCTGCATGGTTTCCCAGGGGCCCACCCTGAGGACGTGTGGTGCAGCAGCTTCGGATTCAGATGCCCCACCCCGCACCCTCAGACCTTGAGGACTTCCTGAACCCCTCTGGGTCCTTCCTCACCTGCAAGGTGAGGTGCTAACATTCCCTGCCTCCTAGACTGTTGGGGCGCTCCAACGAGAAAGTGAATGTGAGATGCAAAACTCCTGGCACAGAGAAGGCACCCTGCAGGTGGGTTCCTTTCTCCTTCCCCTTGAGAGGAATCCCGAGAACGTGGCCCCACTGTCCTGTAGGCTCTGGGCTCCTCAAATGCCGCCACCACCCGGCATTCTATTCTGCTACATGCCAAAGAGGCAGAAAATGAAAATGTTGCCAGCCAGTCCCCTGGGAAAGTAACCCCGAGACTTTGTAAAGGCTTTTTGCAGTTGGGGTGGGGGGCCCTTGGGTGGCTCAGCGGTTGAGCATCTGCCTTTGGCTCAGGTCATGATCTCAGGGTCCTGCGACCGAGTCCCGCATCGGGCTCCCCAAAGGGAGCCTATTTCTCCCTCTGCCTGTGTCTCTGCTTCTTTCTGTGTCTCTCTCTTTTTTTATATATGTATTTTTTTTTTTTACTGGAGTTCGATTTGCCAACATATAGTATAATACCCAGTGTATCTCTCATTTAAAAAAAAAAAAAAAGGCTTTGCAGGGGCCTGGAGTCATGGGAGTCATGGGGCCAGTAGAGGGACCAGTCCCTCTACTCATGTCTCCCATGGGTTTCCTTCCTCAGTAGATAGAGGAAAAGAAAACACCGAGTCTGCCCCAGAGCTGCCCACCCCAGACTTCCAGGAAAGTTCAGGTGCAGTAAGACAGGTCTCGGATGCCCTGAGGCATCCCCGCAGTGCCCCCCCTCCCACCAGGGCACTGTCTTCCCTGATGCTCCCGCAGCCCAGAGGCCTCCCGGCCGCTCCCAGAGGGGACTGTGCCCTAGAGTCACCAGCCCGCAGAGCCAGGGAGTCTTCCCTGCCCGCAGGAAGCACCAGTGACAGTGCCAGCTGACGACTGGGTTGGGGGACAAGAACTAGATTAAGCAGAAGCAGAGGGCTCTTCCAGGAAATGGTCACGGGGAGGGCAGGTGACCCTTCTTGTCCTACATAGAGCTCATCCAGGAAACACAAGGACCTCTCCATGGGACACGAAGGGGGCGGGGGGGAGAAACGGAGCGTGCTGCTTTGTCGTGGCTTCTAGGCTGTCAAAGGGTCAGCAGTGTTTAAAAAATCAAATAATACGGAACCACAACGCAAAACCAGCAGCTGCCTTCCCCACCCCTCGCCCTCTGCACCCCCACGGAGCCCCCCCACCCCACCCAGGGCCACTAATTTTCTTCTTCGTTAACTGATTCTTCTGGAATTAAACACCATATAGGTTTTCTTTCTTTTATTTGTTTTAAGATTTTATTTTTAATAATCTCTATACCCATGTGGGGCTGGGACTCACAACCCAGAGATCAAGAGTGGCGTGCTCTACCTACTGAGCCAGCCGGGCTCCCCTCTTATGTTAATTCTTGGGTTATCACTTGTAGACACTCTCAGTTGACTTGTGAGGACAGCAGACGAGGATTTTGTCCTCTTACATCCCCCGCTTCTCCTCCTGGTAAAGGTACACCATGGTTTCTGTGAATTCAATAATCAAAGTTTACCAGTAGGATTATGTCGCTTTTGCTTATTTCCAACACCACATAGTTTACTATATTTACGTTTCCTCCAATTTTCAGCTTTCCTGCAATGAGAAATGTTCTTGCTTTCCCCCTTTACAGAGGGTCTCTACATTAGAAGTTCAACGCCTCTGTATCTTTTCCTGCCCGTTTCTGTCATGGTTCCTTCGTTGGGAACAACTCCGGGTGTGAGAAATATTTATTGAGCATCTGCTTTTGCATCTTGGACTCCTAGAGGTTAAGAGATACTCAAAGAAGCATGGCCCTTGGCCTGTTGGCAACCTAAAATTAAGTTGAGAGAGATGAGAGAGGTACACATAAAAAAAAAAAAAAAAAAAAAAAAACAAAAAAAAACAGTGTAAGCATGAAGCCACATAGTCAAGCGTCGCCCTGGCTGCTCTGTGAGGGGTGGAATTATGGTGCCCAGAGGGAATGTTCTAGAGTCATAGGAGTTTTCTTCTTTCACGAGGAAGGCCTCAACTGGGATTTGAAATCTGATTATAAAACAGAGAAGAGGGCAGCCCTGGTGGCTCAGCAGTTTAGTGCTGCCTCTGGCCCAGGGTGTGATCCTGGAGCCCCGGGATCGAGTCCCACATCCGGTTCCTTGCGTGGAGCCTGCTTCTCCCTCTGCCTGTGTCTCTGCCTCTCTCTGTGTGTGTCTCTCATGAATAAATAAATAAAATCTTTTTAAAAAAATAAAAATAAAACAGAGAAGAGAATGTTCCAAGTGGAGAAATCAAAGCAGGGTTGATCTGCAGACCTCAAACACAGAAGCATCTAAACAGCCCCAGCTTTAACTTCCTTGTCGTTAGGGGGCAGGAAGGAGTTAATTACTGGTGCTTGGTTGTGGAAGAGAAAATTCTTGTTCGTAGGAAACAGTCACTGAAGTGTTTTCGGGAAAAAGCTAAAACATACGTAACTTACCCTCAAACAGTTCAGGAGGAAAAAAATATAGACAGTGTATGGGCATTCCTTATACTGTTATCATTTTGGAACTCTGCAACTTTGGAATTATTTGGAGTTATTTATTTATTTTTAAGATTTTATTTATTGGAGAGAGAGAGAGCACATGGGCATAAGCAGGGGCAGGGAGCATCAGAGGCAGAGGGAGAAGCTGACTCCCCACTGAGCAGGAAGCCTGATGTGCGGGACTTGATCCCAGGACTCTGGGATCATGACCTGAGCCGAAGGCAGACACCTAACTGACTGAGCCACCCAGGTGCCCTTATTTGCAGTTATTTAAATTTTTAAGAGTTTTTAAGGATTTAAAGCAAGCTACAAAGATACCCTAAAGAAAATAATCACATTTATATAAAGTTGATGAGGGGTCCTTGGGTGGCGCAGCGGTTTAGCGCCTGCCTTTGGCCCAGGGCAGGATCCTGGAGACCCAGGATCGAGTCCCACGTCGGGCTCCCGGTGCATGGAGCCTGCTTCTCCCTCTGCCTGTGTCTCTGCTCTCTCTCTCTCTCTCTCCTCTCTCTCTCTGACTATCATAAATAAATTTAAAAAATTTAAAAAAAAAGATTAAAGCTGATGATTTAAACAGATTCTTTGTTCCATTTGTAGTCTTAAAAAAGGGAATCAGCCTAAACATTCAATGAAAGGAAAATGGGCCAAATTCTGTGGTATGTTATGCCTCTATTAACATGAGTTTTTCCAAAACAGTGAAGTCAAATAAGAAAATGATCAGGGTCTGATGTTAAGGTGGGAGGAGCAGAATATAAAACTACACACTGTATAAATCTGATTATGTGCCCATGTAGACATAAAGTAGAAATATACCAAAGTAAGGACAGTGGTAGGATGAAGGGTAGTTTCACCTTTAAACTTTTCTATGAAGTTTTCCATAATGAGCGTGTATTAATTTTCTAATAAAAAAATGAACATAACTTTCTAAAAAGCTAAAGGAAAAAATGAGATTTGGGGATGAACCCAGAGTTATTTTATGCTTTAAAGTTTTAGTGGGGGGACGCCTGGGTGGCTCAGTGGTTGGTCGTCTGCCTTCGACCCAGGGCGTGATCCAGGATCCAGGATCCAGGATCGAGTCCCCCATCGGGCTCCTGCTTCTCCCTCTGCCTGGGTCTCTGCCTCTCTCTGGGTCTCTCATGGATAAATAAATAAATCTTTAAAAAAATTTTTTTTTAATTTGAGAAAGAGAATGAATGGGAGAGAGAGCACAAGCCAGGGAAGAGGCTGAGGGAGAGGGAGAAGCAGCCTGTCTCCTGAGCAGGGAGCCCTGGGAGCACGGACCAGAGCTGAAGGCAGATGCTTAACCGACTGAGCCACCTGGGTGCCCCCGTAGAGTTATTTTAATAATGTTTAAGGATTAAGATAAAATTACATGCTTATTCATTGAAATGATATCATAATTAAATACAGAGCACTCAAATACTTTTTAAGCCTGAAGAAGACCCGCCCTGTTGGGTCCCTGGGCAGGTTAAATGAAATGATCTCCTTAGAGCGGCACCTGCGGGCACGTGTGTACATCGTATACACGTACGGTCTCGAACAGTCGGCTGTGTTAGCAACCTCACCTCCCTGCTTCTTGCTCACCAGCGTCTGGTTGAGGATGAATTGTGGGGACGCCCGGGGGGCTGCGCGGTGGAGCGTCTGCTCGGCTCAGGTCATGACCCCGGGTCCTGGGTTCGAGTCCCGCGTCGCGCTCCCTGCAGGGAGCCTGCTTCTCCCTCCGCCTGTGGCTCTGCCTCTCTGTCTGCGTGTGTCTCCGGAATAAGTAGATGAGATCTTGAGAGAGAGAGAGGATGGGCTGTGCCGGGCTGGGCTGCGCCCCGGCCGGCGGGAGGGCTGAGCCGCCGTGTCCCCGCAGGTGGCCGCTGAGTACTTCAAGAACACCACGCTGCTGCTGGTGGGCGTCATCTGCGTGGCGGCTGCCGTGGAGAAGTGGAACCTGCACAAGCGCATCGCTCTGCGCATGGTCCTGATGGCCGGAGCCAAGCCGGGCATGTGAGTAGCCCCCGGGGTGCCCAGTGCAGCGCCTCCGCAGCTCCCCGGGGCCACCTGGCCAGGGTCCCAGGCTACAGGGTGACATCCTGGTTGTTTCCCTATGAACGGGGATGGAATGACATCAGGGCTGCTGGGCTCCTACCTGTCCCCTCCGCCAGAGGCCCCCGATCTGAGACTTGAGTGTGTGACTCCGGTGTCCTTTATGATCACACTCTAAATACCTTATCTGAGCAACCTAGACTTCACGGGCAGCAAGTCACAAGACCCAGGGTAGGTCACAACCTACCTCGTTGGGTAAAACGAGGCAGATGACCACGAACTGTTTCTCAACCTTTGCGGGTGTAACAGGGACCGGGCCAGACAAGGAAGTGGGTGTCTTCCCCTCTGTTGCTTAAGGAGCCATGGAGGTGTCCTCCCCTCCACCCTGAGCTTTCGCTGTCCCCGCCCAGACATGTGGCCACTGATCTGGCGTCGGAGATGCGCTGGGCCCTGGCCTCTTGTCTGTCGGCGGCCAGGAGCGCCAGTGGAGACATTCCCAACCTCGGGGAACATGTGGGCACGTCGGGACTGACGCTTCTGTGTTAACCTCACCTCTACTGCTATCGAGCAACACTACTCCTCTCTTCCCTTTGGAACACAGGTCTTACCTCCTGCTGTTTACGGCTTCCTTGTGACATTTTATATAAGCTGCCCTGACTCCTTTGGGAGTCCAATAGAGTATAAATAAATAATACGGTACCAGTTTTCAACAGTAGTCACTTCGATGGACACAGGTCCATGCCTCAAAGGAGATTCCTATCTCCCACTTAACTACAGCTTAACTTGGTGTTAACTTGTCCCCTTGCTCAGTAATAAACGTGCACCCCACACCCCACCTACTAGGCACACAGTGGCATCTACACATGGCGTTGGGACTCCGCAGCTCTTTGAAACCTCAGTGTACTCAAGCTCAGAGTCCAACTCAAGAATGCTTACCCCATTGCATCCCCACTCTTTCTCATTTAACCATCCCCCGGCATGTTTCCACCACACCCCCCCCCCCACCGTGGTGCTCTCTGTCTGCTGCTGGGGGGGGCCAGGCCAGGCAAGCTCAGATCGCCGTCAACCTAAACAGAAACATCACCAGGACGTGGGCCTGCCTAACATAATCCACACGATAGATGCGCTGTCCCCACGTTGCGTGAAGCCGGCGACCCCACCCCAAGTCATAAATGTGGATAAGTCTTTACGTTGGCTTGTCTTATGGATGTGAGAATCATGTCCGCTCCGACACATTGTATGTCCTCAAAGGCAAAGCAAAATAACTTGAAAGTTATTTTTGTTAGTGTTTTCCTCCAAGTGTTGACTCCTCAAGATCTGCTGGAAAAGTGCACACAGTGATATGGGACACTTGTGTGGCTTGGTGGGGGCTGTGCTTTCAGCAAGCTGGCAGTGGGGCAGGGGTTGGGCGAAACTGTGAACTCCATACGTTAGTCTCTATTTGGTCACTAGTAACTCCGGTCACGTGGCTGCGAAGCAAGGACTGTAATTGTGCCTGAAGAATGGCTGGCTGCAGGGCAAAAGAAGAATTCCATTGTGCATAAAACACACATCTTTACCAAGTTAATGTCTGCACAGTCGAGCAATCAGTAGGTCTCTGCCCTGTGCACCTACGAGCAAAGCTAGTCTTCGCTTAAGGAAGGGCTTTTTCTAGCTGAGGCCATGAGCCCGTGAAGTGTGATTTATCCATTCAACAAATATTAATTTAATGTTTACTATGTGCCAAGTCCTGGGAGTACAAAGCTGAATGCACCACATAAGACCCCGACCTTCTGGATACACGCCAGCACCCCGCCCTTCTCTAGGCCGGCTCCATCGGGTTTGTTAGGAGGCCCCAAAGGAGCCCTGTGAAGTGAGCGGGGTGGCCCCTGGGAGATGGCCATGCCGTGGAACCATGCCCCAGCGCCCCTGCCTTGCAGGCTGCTGCTCTGCTTCATGTGCTGCACCACAATGCTCTCCATGTGGCTCTCCAACACGTCCACCACCGCCATGGTGATGCCCATCGTGGAGGCCGTGCTGCAGGAGCTGGTCAGTGCCGAGGAGGAGCAGCTCGTGGCTGGCAACTCCGGCGCCGAAGAGGCCGAGCCCATCAGTACAGTTTGCTGGAGTTCACCTCCCCTTTGCCCCTGGCCCCTCCTCTTGTGACACTGCCCAGCTCAGACCCCTCACCTATGCCCCTCTCCTCCCCTCCGTTCCAGACCAGCCCTTGAACCTCAAACTCCCTTGTAACCCTGCATTCCTGGCCTTTCCTTCCTCCCCTCTCACAGCAGCCACCACTGCTCCTTTCCATGCACCCCTCACCCCAACACTCAAGGGTTCTGACGACACCCTGGGCTGCCTGTGTGTCTGCAAGCCCTACCATGCTTTCAGAGCAGAGGGAAGGGGAGTTGCCATGCATGCCTCCAGCAAGATATGCCCTCCCCATTCAGCCCCAGCCCTGAGCCCAGGCCCTACGCGGTTAGCTCCGCCTCCACGTCTCACGTCTGCTTTCCTTTGCTACTGCAGGTCTTGATGTAAACAACAGCCCACCCTCTCTGGAACTCATCTTTGTCAATGAAGAGTGAGTATGACTGCCCTCCTCCCAGACAGAGTCTCGCCAGGCCTATTCCAGAGGTCAGGAAAGCTTGTACCTGAGCTCCTAGAGAGCTCTTTCATTTTTTTTTTTTAAGATTTTATTTATTTATTCATGAGAGACACACAGAGAGAGGCAGAGACTCGCTGCGGGACTCGATCCCGGGACTCCAGGATCATGCCCTGGGCCGAAGGCAGACGCCCCACCATTGAGCCCCCCAGGCGTCCTTAGAGAGCTCTTTTAGATGTAAGGGCCAAGCTCACATCTTGCAACACCACCACTTTCCTCTGCCCCAATTTCCTCTCTGTACCTGGGAACCACCTGCCAAGATCCAGAGGGCAACTCCTCAACCACAGGGTGTTGCAATCATGCGGGAAGAGACAGACGGGCTCAATCTGATTGTCCGCACATCTGCCAAGTAGAATCTCATCGGAACTGCATCCTTAGGAAAATCATACATTTAATTAATGGAAAAAGCATAATAAATGTCACCGGAGACGCTCGGAGAATCACAAAGTATCTTCTAGATACTAGATGTGGTCTTATTAGATTGGGCCTTGCCAGATACGACAGGGAAAGATGAGGTGACGGGCAGTGGAGCTGAGGACAGTTGATGAAAGAGCTGTGTGGGGGCCGAGAGAAGCTAAAACAGGAGAAACACACCCCCAAACATTCGTGGGAACCAGATCCATTAACAGCTCACTTCTTCCAGAAATTGTATATCAACATGTGGCCTTCAAGGGGTACTGTGAGGAATAGTGCCTGGAAAAGCTGGGTGTGCAGCAGAGCCGAGTTCTGCAGTCTGGTGTCTTCATGGGCAACGAGAGCTGCCCCGAGCGGAACTGGGAGAGCCCTAAGGGTGGAGACAAGCTCTGCTCCCCCCCCCCCCGACCGCTGCCTTCCGTCACGGCCGCCCCGTCCCAGTCCACGGCCCTGATGAAATCTCCGGCAAACCTCGCTTCTCTCTGGTTCCTTTCGGTGTTGGAACACAATGAGCTCCTTCGCAGATAGTCCACAGTCTGGTCCCCACTCATCAAAACTTTGGCCTCTCGGCTGCAGCACCTGCTGCCTATCCCCCAGGCCTGCAGGGTCAGAGGTCAGAGTGCATGGGGACAGACTCCTCTCTCAGCTTCCCTCTTCCCAACCTCTGGGCCCTGCTCTCCCTCTGCTGCTTCCGACCTCTGCGGGCATCCTCCCCTCTCTGAGACCCCCTGGCCCTCTCACTTGCAGGGGCCCCCCTTCAGCATCCCTGGAGCATCCTCCGGGTGAGCTTCTGCAGGGCGCCGGGCTGATGGCGGTGGCGAGGCCCTCCCGGATCTGCCACCACACACCCCCCGAGCCTCTTCTTTCTGGGGTTGCCTCTGCCTCTGGGGTAGGGCCTCTTCATGCAGCTCTGGCTCTGCCACCGTCCTTGTGCGCCACCTGAGATGACACCCAGCGTCATGCCCTGCTTTCGTTCTTCTGCGGACCTAAACATGTGTCCCCAGACTCCAAAGCTAAAGCTCAAGTAGCCCCCTCGAAATCCCTAGCAGGGTGCTGGTGGAAGCCAGGCTGTGAGCCGGGTGAGGACGGCAGGGTCCCCGGGGGCCAGCCCCCAGGTTGTCTGAGGGGCTCCGGGCCGGCCTTCTCCCCCGCTTCGGGAAGGAGGGACAGGAAACATCGGCCCACTCTACGCCTTCCAGGCTACCAACCCTCTTCAAAGAACGCTTCCCCCCAAACCCCATCAGCTCCTGACCCTCCCCAGAGGTAGCCCCGACACTGACGGCCCTGCACTGCCTGTCCTCACGGCACCACTGTCCCTGAGCCAAGACAAACTGAAGCGGGCACCTAGCACCAAGCAGCATTGCAGTCCAGGGCCACCCCCCTGTCTGGGGTGGGGGGACCCGTGGGGTGGGAGAGAGTTGGCGGGCGCAGGAGCGGAGGCCACCAGTCGTGGGGTGCAGCAGTGATCGGACGCTGTCCCGGCCCCTTGCTCTCATCTGTCCCCCTCCACACGCAGCCCAGGCCCCCCCGCCCCTCCAGCCTCAGATAAGCATTCTGCAGGTGTCCCTTAGGGTTAGTGACCTTCGCCGAGTCAGCCGTGAGAACGTGCTCAGGGGCCCTGGGGCTCCAGGCAGACAGACAGACAGACAGCAGCTCCTCTCTGGGCCCACCGTCTACGTGGGAAACACACGTAGTTATGGGGGCGCCTGGGTGATTCAGATGGTTAAGCACCTGCCTTCAGCTCAAATCCTGATCCCAGGGTCCTGAGATCGAGGCCCATGTCGGGAGTCTGCTTCTTCCTCTCCTTCTGTCTCCCCCACCTCTTCATGCTCTCCTCTCTCTGAAATGAATAAAATCTTTTTTTAATAAATATTTTATTTATTTATTCATGAGAGAGACACAGAGAGAGAGGTAGAGACCCAGGCAGAGGGAAAAACAGGCTCCCTGCAGGGAGCCCGATGTGAGGTCATGCCCCAGGCCGAAGGCGGTGCTAAACCACTCAGCCACCGGGCTGCACTGAAATGAATAAAATCTTAAAAAAAAAAAAAAATGCAGGCAGTGGTACCTGTGCCACCCGTCTGTTACGAGGATAGCACTGTCGTGAGAACTAAAGTCCACATGTAAGTGGACTTGGCCCCTAAAAAGCACTCCATCTTAGTTACTAGGAGGGTCAGCGCTGCTTCCGAGGAAACGCTGTCCCCACAGATGCTGACAGCGTCTCTGTAAGGCCAGGAAGACCCATGTGAGATTAGTCTTCTAGGTAGCCAAGGAAACCAGACCCTACAGAGGTCACTTACACCCAACACCACTGTTGGCTGAGGGACAGCATTCCTATCTCGTGAACTCTGGTCCTATGTCGTTGTCCCATTTTCTTTGCTTTCTTCCAGCCCGTCGACTGCAGACTTTGCCTCTCTGATGCAGAACAAGGTAAGGCTTTGGGTTTCTTCGGTGCTTTAAGATCACTTGGAGGCCCCTCAAGATAACTCAGGGACAGAGGTGGCCGGCAGCTGGTCCTGGGGCTCAGCGGCAGCCACTGGTGTGGGAGCGGAGAGGTGCTCCCAAGAGCCTGGACAGGAGGAGGGCTGGATGGGCTCTGGGTGAAGGGTTGCCTGCCTCCGAATCCTGGCCCTGAGAGGGCTTAGGTTATAAGCCCTCTCATAAAGTGCAGGTTAGACATTTGCATGGAAACCCAATACTCAATTCTATATGTTGGCAAATTGAACACCAATAAAAAATAAATTTATTTAAAAAAAAAAAGAAGAAAAGAAACCCAATACTCAGCCATCCAGATTTCCAAGAGTCAAAGGTTCACTCTTGGGATTCCTTGTGGTGGGGATGCCATACAAAAACTGTAGTATAAAAAGGGCCATATTTAAAGATGTATTTATTTTAGAGAAAGAGAACACACATGTGCTGAGCTCCTGCTGAGCATGGAGCCTGATGCAAGGATCAACCCCATGATCCATGAGATCATGACCTGAGCTGAACCCTACAGTCGGATGCTTAACCGATTGAGCCACTCAGCTGCCCCCCAAAGGGTCGCATTTATAGAGGAAAACACAGTCTATGGCCTCGCCCCTTCCCCCAGAACTGGTTCTACATCTTCTGACATCAGCCCAAATTCTGATCACCAAACTCTGGACTTTGTTATGGTGAGATTTTTTTTTCTTCATTTTCTTCGTGTTAAAGAAAAATGAAGGATTCTTCATTAGCTAATGAAGTTCCAGAAAGTCAAGCTCTTCTACAAGGACAGAGCCATGTTCTACCAAGTTTTGAAAGCCTCTGCAAGTGGGCAGCTTGGCACCACCTGGATGGGAATCTGTGTCTCGGAGGCACAGTGGGGTGGCTTCCCACTGCATGCTCTCCCTGGCTTCTGGTCTCCAACGGCCACAGTGCTGAGGCATGGGATGCCGTGGGGTGATTACGTGGCACCTCTGGAGGCCCAGCGCATCCCCTTCCTGACAGTGGGATGGTCTTTGTCCTCACAGAACCTGAATGGTGTGCCCACAGTCACCAACCCAGTCAAAACAGCAAATCCCCAGGGCAAGAAGCAGCACCGATCCCAGGTAATGGAACTCACCCCCTGACCCTGTTTCCTACATGGAATTCCTCTCGAGCTTCCCAAGGGGCACTGACCTTGAGGTTATGAGGGTGGCAGGCTCGTGTGCTGTCACCAGGCACTCCATCCGCATACATGTCTGGCCTGCGTGTGCCATGAAGATAAAACACCTAACTCAAGGTTGATTTTGGCAAGTCATTGTACCATCTAAGGCCCTATTTTTTCCTTCAACTATAAAAGCTGGGGGTTGGACTAGATCATAGGTATTCACATTTTTTTCCCAAGGGTGCTTCGGGAACAATGCAAATTGTATTTGAGTATTCTGAGATTGCAAGAAAACTACCTTTTTTGTGTGAATGAGTATTTTCCTGCTACTTGCTATCCCACTGAAACAACATACAGAAACAAAATGGATATTGAAGCTGGCATGAACTTGCGGCTATCACTGACAATCCTTGATTTCAAATTTTTGTGTCCATCCATATAATCTCAATTCTTTTTTTTTTTAATCTCAATTCTTTAACATCCACCATCAACATCAGTAACTGCCACCATTTATGAAACACCGATTATGTACCGAGTGCAGTGTGCTGAGCGTTTTCTCCCTAGTTTTGGCTCGGGGAGGTAGCAAGTCTTGAACTCCATTTCTGCAGATGAAATGGAAGGAGGTGACATCGCGTGCCCAAGGCCTCAGAGTCAGTAATTCGAGGAATATCTCGATTCAAATCCAAGTCTCCCTCACCACACGTGTCTACTTTCAGTTATAAAACAGATGTACACTTAGTAAATGCTACATTATGCTTTATATATTGGAGGTCCATGAAAATTTTCATGGAAAATTTAGAAAACCACCGGACCAGAGAATCTGAATTCTCTTACAGCTTGAATAATGAATCTCTCGGGAAGGCTTGCAAGGGTCCAGACCAACTCAGGCCCTCCTGGGAGGTGGGGCATTAGTTAAGGGCTTTGAGAAAGGAGGCAAGGCAGCCTCTTTCCCAGGGTTTTCCCAGGATTTGGCCTCCTGATGTTTGCATCAGGCGGCTCTGGGTCTTACGAAGACTCAGTTGGCAGGACACCAGGCCTGGAGGGACAGAGGGTACTTGCTGCTGCTTCTTTTCTTTTTCTTTCTTTTTTTAAGATGTATTTATTTATTTGAGAGAAAGAGAGTGCACTGAGGAGAAGTAAAGGGAGAAGGAGAGAGAGTCGTAAGCTGGCTCTATGCCAAGCATGGAGTCCAATGCGCGGCTCCATCCATCCCAGGATGCTGAGACCACGACCTAATCTGAAACAAAAGTTAGACACTTAACTGACTGAGCCAGCCAAGTGCCCCACTTGCTTCTTTATCTACACTTAAGGCCAGAGGTCAGCAACCTCTGACCCTGAAAGGCTACACCATCAGGCTAAGCAGGGCCTTGTAGGAGCACAGAAGGCCAGCCTCATATGCAAGGGAAGGGAGAGAGTGGGGATTCAAAACCAAGAGGCTAGAAGGAGAAAAGGGTGAGGAGAGAATCCCACATTGGACTCCCTCCGCCTCCCAAGGCGTATTTCTCAGTCCTCTCCCAGGCAGGACTTTTACTCCAAATCCAGAGAGAGAACCACCAGCTCCCATGTGTCACTGACACACAAAGCAGAGAGCAACCAGGTCTGCTGGAGTTCAGGTGAAAATACAACATGCTGTTACTAACAACAAAAGTACCTATCGCTTACCATTTGTTAAATGCCAGGAAGTATTCTCAGTGCTTTCCATATATTACCTCAATTACTCTTCACAACAATCTGGTGGAGAAAATAGGCTTTTCTTCATTTTGCAGAAGAATAGGTGATTCAGAGGAGCTGCCCAAATTGGTAAATGGTAGAGCTAGGATGGGGATTTGTCCTTCTGACCCCCAAGCATCAAACCTTCCATGGCACCGTGGTGCCCCTGCTTTCATGCTTTGTGTGCTGGACAGCCCACACCGGGTTGGAAAGATTCACTAATTTTTCTCTGATAGGAAAAGCCACTAGTCCTGATCCCCGGCCCCAGGAACCAGGAGCTCAACAGAAAGTACAAGTCCCAGCATGACCAGATGATCTGCAAGTGCCTGTCTCTGAGCATATCTTATGCTGCTACCATTGGGGGCCTGACCACCATCATTGGCACGTCCACCAGCCTCATTTTCTTGGAACACTTCAACAAGTAAGGAACTCACCAGATCCACAAATATCTACCAACCACCCAGTACGTGTCGGGAGCAGAATGAGATGATAAGGATAGGGCAGAAAATGGAACTGGAACCGTTTCCATACCCAGAGGGAAAAGAGACTGTGGAGCATGATAGCTCGGTGTGACTGGAGTGGGGGTGGTTCTGCTGGGAGAGCCCACGGGGGCCACCCAGTCTACAGGGAGGACACACCTCCCCAAGGACACAGCTACAGAAACAATACCGGAAGCACAGTGGGCATACCCTGGAGAAAGGGAGGTTTTCCAGACCAACACAACAGTGAGTGGAAGGACTCAGTGGCCAGTGAGCAGAGCACATAGGAGAGAATGGTAGAGGGTAAAGGGAGGCCAGAGGTAGACACAGAGATGGCAAAGGGCCTCCTGTGGCCCACTCAGGAACTTGGACTTCATCTAGAAGGCCGTGGGTAGCCTTTGAGGAATTATAGGCAGGGAGCAAGGTGATCAGATTTATAGTTTTGAAAACTGATTCAGGATTGAAAACATGGAAGAGAGAAAGTAGGCAGCAGGCTGACAACTTTGGACACCACTGCAGATGCCCAGGAGAGAGCTGGTGGTGGCCTGCAAACCCAGGCAGCAGTGAGGAGAAGTGGTCAGATTTGAGAGAAAGGCAGAGGTAGGCTTGACCAGCCTCAATAGGATTAGAAAGAGCCCGAGGGAGGGAAGGGCCAAGTCTGATTGTCAGACTCATGGTCTCCGCAGCTGGGAGAACAGAGCTGCCCTTGACCTAAAGGAGCAGAAAAATAAGGAGATGTTGATGTAGAGGTTGAGATGGCCAGAGGGATACACAGCTCTGAATCTCCTAAACATTTTTAGGTGAAAGGCATAGATTTAAAGTCAGCGGCCTGCAGAGCTGTCTTCCTGAGCACATGACCTATACGGTCCCACTGGACCACGATGCTGAGAAGGACCCCACCCTTAGCTTGATGGTCCACTGTCACCATCTGGGAATTCTTAATCATTTTTGAACAAGCGGCCCCACATTTGCATTTTGTACTGGGGCCCACTAATTAGATGGTAGTGGGTCCTGGTGGGAGGCATGTGGCAAGTGAAGCCAAGAGAGTGAAGGAGATCCATCACTCTGGGAGAATATGTGGAGTAAGTAGAGCAGGAGCCGTAAATATTAAGCTCAAATTTTTAAAGTAGACTATAAATGAGAGAACAATAGGGTATCACACAGGGAAGAGGAAAATCTGGTGTCATTCTATCCAAGGGAAGAAAGCGTTCAAGGAGGAAGGCATGGGCCATACTGTCTAAAGTGGCTGAATGACTAAGCAAAAGGACAAAAAGATTCAATTCCATGACATGAAGGTCACTGGTGACCTAGGCAAGAGCAATTCGGTCAAGTGACTGAAAAGTGAAGCCAAATTTCCGTGAGTTGAGGAGTAAGCTGGGGGTGAGTGGACAAAGTTGTCTGTGATGAGGAGAGGTATGGGACGATGATAACGGAAGAGTCAAGTGGGGTCAAGAGGGACTTTTAAGATGGAGGACATTTGAATGTAGATAGGGACATCCAGGTGAGAGGAAGATGAAAGATTTGGGAGAGAGGGGACAACTGATAGCCTGATGTCCCTGAGAACACAGGAAGGGTTCTAGAGCAGACAGGAGAGAAAGAGATCAGACAAGAGAAGCACTCCCTTCATTTTGGCAGGAAAAGGAAGGAAGGAAGCAAGGAAGGTAAAGAGGGAGGAGGAAGGGCCAATGAAATGTTAAGACCCAAGTCCCCAGGATCTGAGCTGTGAGAATCCTCACATCATATTACTCTGTCCAGACTTTGAGTCTCTGCTCTTTAATTCCTGATTCACCCTGTGGTCGGGCCAATTCATATTCTCTTGGCCTCCCTCCGGGGCTGTCATGGTACCTTTAGTCACAACCGTAGGGATCCCGTGAAAGGACGGTGGGCTCTCTGGATCTCCACTGCCTGAAAGTGCCGCCACACTGTTCTTCTTGGCGTTGGTGAACAGACCACCCCCCGAGTTCAGTCTGGCCGTGTGGCAAAAATCTACAAGTTAGTTGTTACACTTTCTGAAGTGCCGTAAATGGTAGTAGGCCCTCATATTCACCCACAAAAGTTTATTTAATCTATTCTAAAAGCCCATTCCTTTTTCCTGAGTCCAGGAGCAGGGTCTAGATTTCTATGTACAGAGAAGAGATGATGCAACAGACCTTAGGCCGGTTAGCCTGCTGCAGGCCAGAGTGAGTCACCCAGTGATTTACACCCCCTGGTATCCTTCTAGCTCCAAAAGTCCTTCTTCCCGCCACCCGCTATCAGTGAGCCACTCTGGCCCTTAGGGAAGGCACAAGCTGTCACAATTTCCCAAGAAGCAGGTGGATGGTAAAGGTAAGTCCCTGACCAGGCCATGGTGCAAAAGAGTGGATGTCCCTGGGATGACGTTGCATTCTCCATTGCATTCTCTCTTGTGGGGAGAAGAGAATCTGCTCTTGGTGTCTTTTTCCACGCAGTGCCTAGTGTGAAAAGAGGGGCAATCTCCTCCCACCTTAGAGGTAGCAATTCCAGAGGAAAGGAACACAGACGTTGTCTTGGCTAACGTCATGGCTCACCTGTGGCCCATCCCAGCTCCCCAGGAAAACAACATCAGGGCTGGGGGCCACAGCCCTTCCTGAGGAATAAAGGGTCCTCTCGGTAACCTCCCTGAGCCCCTAGGATAGCAGTGGATGTTGATCAAATATTTGGGGATTCCAAGCCACGGTTCCCTATGGGCACAGTTAATACCTGGAACCTTCGTGATGCTCTAGAGTCCAACTTCTCCAGAATCAGTGCCTTGCATCCCCTAATCAAAGCTCACATTCCTTTGGTTTCCTTATAAACAAGTATACCAGACTGCTCTTTCCATTCTCTGTTGACCTAAAAACCAGATGAGTAACTTTCCAGAATCTTTCCATAAATGAAGAGCAAACAGATCCTGAGTGGTTCTCCTGAGTGCAAAGTATATACACTTCAGTGATTTATCAAGTTTGGTTGCTTAGATGTCCTTTTTGGCTTACTTCATCATTCTTGGCTGGGTCCTGTACAGTTACAACTGTCAAATACGTGAGTTCTAGACAATGTTTCACTGTATCATTACAGTCCTCTCTACCATTAGCTGTGATGTATGTCTTCTTAAGGAGTGTTTAGCTTATCACCCCCCAGAAACCACGTGAGAATCCATTTCTAGTCACTGACTTGGTTCTTTCCCCTCCAGCCAGTATCCAGCTGCAGAGGTGGTCAACTTTGGCACCTGGTTCCTCTTCAGCTTTCCCATCTCCCTCATCATGCTGGTGGTCAGCTGGTTCTGGATGCACTGGCTGTTCCTGGGCTGCAAGTGAGTCCCAGGGCCCTGCCAGTGAGGTAGCGAGGCTCTCCCGTCCATCCTCCAGAGTCACGGCGGGAGCCCTGGGGAGCACCACCCAAGGGGGAGCTGCCAAGTGACCACGGAGGATGTGCAAGAAGGCACTGGACTAGACGGGGAGTCAGGCATCACTGGTTCTAGGAACTAAATATACATGGCCTTGGCACTTCACTATAAGCTCTACAATGGAATGTTCTTAACACCAGCTAACTGGTAACCCCCACCCCAAACCCCCCACCCCCACCAACTACCTAGTTAAAGGAAGTATCAGATTTATAAATAGTCTGAATGGGACTATGGTCAATGTAGTTTCATTTCTCTCAAAGCAGACAGAGTAATTTGAACTAACTTCTAAAGAAATGTGACTCCAAGTAGAAGAATTCCTTAGGCTTCGATAGATTCCTATCGAATCTTCTAGACACGAGTGATTCATGCATGAAATATTCACATATCTCTCCAAATCACAAGTTAGATATTCCTCTTGCAATATTATTTCTGATATTAATCTGCTTAGCAAGCTTTTCTTCATAACCATATTTTGATGATCCTCAAACACATAAAGGGAAGATAAATAGGATGTCTTGCTATTGGTTCACCGGATCCAAGACTCCCATTGGATTTTTTTTTTCAAGAACTCAGAGGCAACTATCAAATCAGTGACAGCTGTATACTTCTGTATGTAAAAACTACCCCCCATCCATACAGTCACACAAGTCTGTCAAACATGATCCTTCACGTCGATACACCAGGGATACACCCAGATGGATAGTCCTGGAAGCCAAGGGGAGAGGTTGAGGGGAGGCTGAGTCGTAGGACAGCCGGGGTTGGAGGGGCAGAGTGTGGAAGAGGGGGTGAGTGATTACAGGCAGCCAGCAGTTTAGTATTTGCTTACTCCTTGACTCCTCTAGGCCTCAGAAGCACGCTTCCTTTATCCTTCTGCTCTTCTTCTTTCTCAGCTTTAGAGAGACCTGCTCTCTAAGCAAGAAGAAGAAGACCAAAAGGGAAGAGCTGTCAGAGAAGAGAATCCAAGAGGAATATGAAAAGCTGGGAGCCATTAGGTAAAAATCAGCCCTTCATCCTCTCTCCTCCTCCAGGAGAGAAAGCATGGCAGGTAAAGTGAGCACACAAGCAGCCTTGTTCTCGGCAGTCCCTTGAGCTGGGGGGCTTTCCACAGCTACGAATCCTGGCACTTGGAGATGCTGCTGAATGCCCAAGGCCAGCTGGCCCAGATTGCAGGAGGCCGCCCTCCCCCTTTGTCGTGTTCCAAGTCCAAGGTATAGCCATGGTGTGGGGTGGACGGCACAGATGGGGGGCCGGGGAAGGAAGTGTGAGACAACACAGCACCCTCTTGGGACAGACCCAATGTCCTGTGAAGTCAGCGCCCCACACTGCTCTGAACGGACCACTGCCGGTCCCAGGGCCACTCCTAGGGAGCTGGGGGGCATCGAGCATCATCAAATGCAGACTTAAAGCCAGAGGGCCCAAGGAATCACCACCCCCTCAGCCATCATCGGCTTTCTCCAGTGACCACACATCCTACTTGGTGGGGTTTTTCTCCTTTCATGGTGTAGGCAGATGGCTTTAGGCAAAAGGATCCTGGTATAAGCAGTAATTTTTAAATGTTTTGATTTATAAAAGGAGTGCGTGTTCATTGTAGAGCATTCAGAAAATACGGGAAAATAGAGAAAACTAAAACGGACTTTCCTTTTATTCAGTGTTAACTGTTCCCAACTGTTACCGTAATTACTCTTCCTTCTGTTTTTTTGTGCAAAATTATATGCATTTTTGCTAAAACTCAGTCCAAACTGAACATGGTCTTTTTTCACTCAGCACTAGACTGTCCTCTTATTCCCAGGCCATTAGCTCTGCAGTGCAAACATAATGATCAGATGCATCACATTTGAACCTACAGTTAGACCAAAATGTATCTGATGTCACGGGATATCACTGAATATGTAGGTTGTTCCCACTTTCAGTGTTTAATCTTTAAGTAGGTAACATATCACTGTGCATCTCTGGTTATTCCCTTACACGAAAGGAAGGACCAAATTTAAGGCTCCTGGTAGCATCGTCAAATTCCCTCCGAAGGGCTGTGGCCGCTCCAGGCCCACTAGCAGAGCGTGGGGGCCTGTGTCACTGTGTCCTCCTGGGAGGCCCTGCCCTGTATTGTTGCCTCAATGTCTGCAGCTGTGCCCCCTCCTCCCTTCCCACCTCAGCTGCTCCCGGAGTCACGGGCGACATCTGTTTTCTGGCATCTTCTTGGCCCTCTTCCCACTTCAGTCGGGCTGTTCAGAGCAGCGGGGCAGTGGCTGTTCTGTCTCCAGGATGGGGGCTCTGGACACAGCAGCCCCGCCCGGGAGGAGTGAAGAAGCCAGCAGAGACCTCCCAGATCCCGGAGCAGCTCTTCCTGTTGTATTTCATAGCTACCCTGAAATGGTAACTGGATTTTTCTTCATCCTGATGACCGTGCTGTGGTTTACCCGGGAGCCTGGCTTTGTTCCTGGCTGGGATTCTTTCTTTGAGAAGTAAGTGGTCTTGTCTCCTCCTTTAAGAATCACCCCCTGATGCAGATCCTTCGGGCAGGGTGTCCCTCCTTGGCTCGCAGGGGCAGCCATGAGCCCAGGAAGCACAACATCCCCTTGCAAGGGGCCTCTCTTGAGGGAAGCCAAAGTGTGGAGGCAGGAAGAAAACAGAGCGTGTGGCATCTGAGTCTGGGGTTGGGATCTCATGCTGCCCCCTGCCCAGCCGTGTGACCTTGGTTTTGTTTCCTAAGCTCTTGAAACCTCAGTTGTCTTGCAGGTGGCTCTGAGGCTTAAGGTCAAAGGCCAGCTGTGAGAGAGTGTGGCCGGGGGTGGCCGAGGCCTTGGCAGGCTGAGGCAGGCAGTGGCAGGCAGAGGCCCCAGGGCCACCCCCACAGGACCCCCGAGGACCAGGGCCACAGCTCTCTCTGTTCAGCTTCTCAACTGAGCAAAGACACACACAGAAGTGTGACCCTTGTAGGAAAGAGAAGTTATCCTTCCAGAGTCTCCTCTATCGAAATAACCCCTGATCTCTCCTTCTAATGGGCCCATGATCCGCACCGAGACATCTACACTAGTGGGGCCCGGCCTCCAGCCTCCAACCCTTGCCCGTTAAATGAGTATGGCAGCTGATGCAGGAAGGCAGGCGGAGGACCCTCTAGATTGGGCCCTAAAGAGAGGCACTGTGTTCCCACAGACCGTCCTGAGACCTGGTGCTCCCCTCCCTCCTGGCCCTCTGCCCCCAGCCCTGCTCGTTTCTTTGCTAGGAAGGGCTACCGCACCGATGCCACGGTCTCTGTTTTCCTCGGCTTCCTCCTCTTCCTGATTCCAGCAAAGAAGCCTTGCTTTGGGAAGAAGAGTGATGGTGAGAGAGGTTCAAGGGAAGAAGTCAGGGCTGGCTCTGGTCAACCATACCCAAGTCAGAATTTTCAGAAGAGCCTCACCAAGGCTGTTCTGAGGCTCCCCTTCTGCCCCCCAATAGCAGAGCAGCCTCCCCAGCCATCAGTTCACCAATTAGGTCCTTGTCTCCACAAACCCTCATCCTGCTCTTCCTCTACCTGTGATCCAGGGCAGAGCCAGGAGCCCTCCCTGGGGACAGAGCCCATCATCACATGGAAGGACTTCCAGAAGACCATGCCCTGGGAGATTGTCATTCTGGTGGGAGGAGGCTATGCTCTGGCCTCTGGCAGCAAGGTAACTCTTGATTTCTATTCTTATTGGGCCAACAGTTTGTTTTAAGCAGCTTTACCTAATGAGTCATTTCTATTCTGGGAGGAAGACTCCAAGGTGCTGAGGGAGAGATGAACATTCACCCAGGGGAAGAGTACGGCCAGGCGTGGGTATCCTGTCCTACCCTGAACCTCTAAACTAGCACTATTGAGGATGGGGAGTTAGAGACCAGCCGTGCTGGGGAGTCAGGGCATGTGGGCACTCCCACCTCACTCACCAGCCCACAATGTCACTGGCAAAAGGTTGGTTTCTATAGCCATCTCCTTCTGAGCATTTGACAGTGGTAGTAAGAGGCTGTAGGGGTCCAGAGACACCCCAAATTGACACACAGCAAACTCCTTCAATCCTCCCACATGCATACATTGAGCCCCTTTGGAGAATGCATGCTAACGCTGATGTAAATGCTACACAGGTGCCTGGCTTTCCTGATTGGGAGGAATTGGGATAAGATCTTATAGAAGGGGCTGGTGGGAAATAGTTGAATTTCCTAAAATGTTAGCCCTTCCTGAAATAGAAAAGGACACCCCCAAATTAATCAGGTTCACACCGTTTTTCCCTCGACCTTTGCTATATTAACTTGGCTTGCTTTTTGGCTGCCCATTCACTAACGGCCAATGCTATCTGCATCTAAGATCACAGAATCCCCCAGGTGGAAGGAACCCTGAAGGACACTGCGTCCCGTCTCCTACCCAGTGAGAGAATTCCCTGCAGGACACCCCTGGGCTCGAACACCACCAGTGGCAGGGCACTCCCTGAGCAGGGAACAGAGAGGTGGTCTTTACTTTTAGCTCTGGTCTTCCGTATGTCTTCCACTGGTTGGCTCTGTTCTCTCGAACCCGATCCTAGGTAATAATGATTAAAGTAATAAAGTTATTAGATCCCCTTAGATCATCCCCCCCAAAACTAAAACTCCCTAGTTCCTCCACCATTCTTCAAGAAGTAGTGACCCCTTACTGTGCTGGCTGCTCCTTAGGACTCACTACACTCTGCCCTTGGCCTTATTCCAATATGGTCCAGAGGTGGCCAGTCTCCTACAGAGTAAAAGTCGTATTACTGGAGCCCTATCTCTCACCTCCGATTCAAGCACCAATCTGTATTTTTATGAAAGCTTTTATAAGGCTTCCTTGACATTCATATCAACATCTTTATTGAAACTAAAATCATTTAAAATTTCATTGCTAGCCACTACTACGTGTCCCATCTTTCAAGCAATCCTGTATATGTGCTATTGGTATTTCCAAGTTCAGAATATCATACTTTTCTTTATTGATAGTTTGGGCCACTGCATCTAGCCCGGAAAGATTTTAACTACAAATGTGTGTGTGCTACAGACAGCATAGTTGATATTTCTGTAAAATCTACTGAGTCTACTAATTTTAATATGTCAAGTATGACATAGGTGATTCCTATCAAGTTTGAGATAATTTCAGTCTTGACACGAGGTTAAATCCAATGTAAAGTTTTTTTGTACCAAGGTTTAAAAAAAAAATAAGACGTCCTTTGTTGTGCTTTTCTCTAAATTGGCAATCTAATTTGTGGATTTCTTTCAAATTACAGTATAAAAAAGCTTCTGGAAAAAATTGCTATTTTTACTTTAGCTCTGAGTACTATCTGAATAATGTGATAAATGGAGCTCTGTTTCTTTATAAGAAGTACTATTCCCACTCAGCTAAATGTTCTTCCTCCCGTTTGTCCAGTGGGTAAGGCTTAATATGCTAGAAGAGGTACCAGTCATGAATTGCTGTAGTCCCATGTTGGATTTGCAGCCCATAGGCAGTAGAGCAAAAAGAAAAAGGTGCTCCCAGGTAAAATGGCTACAGCAGAGAGAATTCTGAAGGCCTTTTGCCACCAGCTATCTACGAGCTTCCCTTGAGGTGGTCAGGGTGCTGTAGAGATCAAATAGCCTTTGAGGAATTTGGAAAGGGGAGATAAAGCAGCCTGCTGACAATGCGGTGAGGCTGTCTTTAATATGAGTAGGAGTCATAGCTTGAGGAATCATAAAATCTCACCTTGCTTTGGGCTCTACTCTCCTTTCTTTAGTGCATTTGCAGTCTCTCTGGTAGGTACGAAAAGTTAGAGCACATCAACCATAGAAGAGAGAGGAGGAGGGAGGGAGGGCAGGAGAATGCATATGGTAACCTAGGGTTTTAGCATAAAACTCAACGGGCGTCCTTTATTTTTTAAGGGAGGGAGGGAATCTTCACCACTGGCAAATGAACAACTTCCAACCAAATATGTTATTCCAAGTGGGAGATACTCATTTATTGGAGTAGATCTATATAAATTTTGCTAATGGAAAAGGGTTTGAGAGTGGCAACATGCCTTCGTATCTTGTGTCGTGAAAAAGCACTGGTGGATTGTAGATCCTGATGTCAGCCATGATGAGATTGAACCTGAAACAGGCCGGGGCTGCATGACAAGATTTGTGGGCTAGGGGGGTGGCATCTTCCCACTAAGCTCAGATAGACAGGTAATCCCTCTATGTAAAGCTTCCAGGGTTCAGGCCTGCCCCCCGACTCTGCACAAACCACAAGGAAGGGGACTATCCAAAGACATTGATAATCTTCCCCCTTCCACAGGTGATAAGAGAGCTAGATTTCTTAAGATTTTATTTGAGAAAGTGCATGCAATAGAGAGAGAGAACTCGAGCATGCGCGCACATGAGCAAGGGGGAGCAGCAGAGGGAGAGGGAGAAGCAGACTCGCTGCTGAGCAGGGAACTCCATGGGTGACTTGATCCCAGAGCCCTGAAGGACTCGATCCCAGGAGCCTGGGATCATGACCTGAGCTGAAGGCAGATGCTTAACTGACTGAGCCACCCAGGCACCTGAGAGAGCCACACTTCAAAAACAGAATTAAGGATTACACTGGCGGGGGTGGTCTGTGTAAAAAGCACCATTGGCTGGATGACAGAGTGAAAATGTCACAGGCTGGAGAGTGTAAGGAGATTGAAGTTGAGGGGCCCATTGCCCCGAAGATCTCCAGCCCCTGCCAAACCATCAGCAAAATCCTACGAAGAATCACAGCAATTAGGATGGGTTGCTCGCTATGCCCTGTGATGAATGCCTAGGAAATCCCAAAATTGAATGTGATAGAACCATAAAGAATTTTCTGGGCTGTAAAAATGATCCCATCATCAAATCAGTAATGCCTCTGGGTCCAGTCTGCTTGAAAATAGGAAGGCAAATTAGATGACCCCTAGTGGTTCCTTCCAGCCCCCCAACATCCCTGACCTTCTGGAGTCCAAAACTTCCATGGGGAATGTGCTTTTTCTCCTTTCTTCTTACTCTATCACCCATCTTCCTGCAGAGCTCTGGCCTCTCCACGTGGATTGGACACCAGATGTTGTCTCTGAGTGGCCTCCCACCGTGGGCTGTCACCCTGTTGGCATGCATCCTGGTGTCCATTGTCACAGAGTTTGTGAGCAACCCAGCCACCATCACCATCTTCCTGCCCATCCTATGCAGCCTGGTGAGTAGGGCAGGGCTCCCACGTGTCAGGACGGGCTGCCTTGGGCCCGAGGAGCAGGTCCACGGCTGTACTCTCTCGTCTGGTTATTGCCACAGCCTCCACTGATTGGTGCTCCAGCCATAGTTTGGAAATGAAGTGTTTCAAATATGATAAGTGAATAAATAACCCTAGGATTCCAATTCCTACAATCATCATTTCTATCTCTCCTAAGACCTAAGAGTAGGGCCAGAGGAAGAACTATGGAAAATGGGGGCAAAATGCTCCCAGAAGTACACTCAGCTGTCAAGCCCAAGACCACAACTCTGTCGTCACCACCTCCCCTGAGTTTCACTGTCGGGGGTGGGGGTAGGGATGGGGGAGGTCCTGAGAATAGAGGCAATCAATGCCACCCTCATCCCATGGTCTCAGAACAATCTTTTATTCATGAATGAGGGGAGGGGAGCCACCACCGGATCTTAGCCTGGCTAAGCAGTCCCCAAGGTACTGCGCTACACACAATGCTGCGTCTGTCCCATTAGCAAGGTGGAACCTATAAAATGAAGCCACCTCCTCCTCATCCCCAACAAAATGATATCCTTCTGCTCTTTTTAACCCCAAACTACCCCCAGCCACTGTCTTTGCTCTTTGTTCAGATGTCTCCTTCCAACTGCTCCCTCCATCGTCTGTGTGAGCACCAGGATACACTTAGTTAAGACTCTGCAACACTGAGGGCAAGACCATGGGTTCAAATCCCATACAATGCAAGCATCTTACCTAGAGGGACCCCTCACCTCAACCAAAGTAACTTATCCAAGAGACTTGAGTTTGAAGAATGAATCTCCTGGCTAAAGAATAAAATTAGGCCAGCACCAGGAAATGACACATCCCTTCTAGGAAGGAATCCCAAACCCATGTTTCCACAGGGAGTAAGTGAGCAGCAGGAGCCCACCTGGGTTGCCCAGCACCGTGTGCCCTTAAGGGTAGTGATTTAACTACTTGTAGCACATGGCATCCAGCAGAAATTAGCCAACGCCGAGCTGCCATTTTGAGCATGTTTGCGATGTTAAGCCCAAGAAATGCAAGCCTAACGTCAACGCTCATGTTTCTGTGAATTCTCTCTTCTCCTAGTCTGAAACGCTGCACATTAATCCACTCTACACTCTGATCCCAGTCACCATGTGCATCTCCTTTGCAGTGATGCTGCCTGTGGGCAATCCCCCCAACGCCATCGTCTTCAGCTATGGGCATTGCCAAATCAAAGATATGGTAAGTTGTGGATGCCCTCTTCCTGCCATGAGGACAGGGACCAGTGGTCCCCAGCCTCCTCCTGAAGTTTATTATTTTATAGCAGGCTCTATAGTCTGTCAGCACTCAGTCTAGTGTGGTAGAAAGAATGGTGCTGGCAAAAAGGCTGTTGGGGGGAAAGGAGAAAAAAAAGTGGGAAATATCAGAAGGGGAGACAAAACATGGAAGACTCCTAACTCTGGGAAACGAACTAGGGGTGGTGGAAGGGGAGGTAGGCGGGGGGTTGTGGGGGTGACTGGGTGACAGGCACTGAGGTGGGCACTTGACGGGATGAGCACTGGGTGTTATTCTGTATGTTGGCAAATTGAACACCAATAAAAAATAATTATTAAAAAAAAAGGCTGTTGGTTGGTCCATGAGGCCCAATAACGTGCTCTCCCAGCCTTATCTGGGAGAAAGGGGGTACACAGAGAAAGCTGGAATAGTCACGAGATGCAGCGCAGGGTGAGAGGCACGAGGGTTTCCCTCAGTTTCTTCACTGGACCAGTGGGGATGTTCATTGCAAAAGGTGCTGTTTACTTAGAGACGTGAAGCAGGAGAAACTGTAGGAACCTAGGGTGGAAGGTATGATGGGACAGGCCCCTCCCATTGAGCTCTCCCCAACACAGGCAGCCCTTGAAGCAGCAATGGCAAAGCGAAGCACCCACAGCTCATTGCTCGGTTCTCAGCTGGACTCCCACAAGATGGAGGCAGATGGTCAGACTGTAGTGTTGGGCATATTTACCCTCGACCCCTCGGCCTATACTCCCTGCTGTGCTCCTGGGTATCTAGGCTCCTGGGGGGCTGGGGAAAAGATAAAAACAACTCATAATTACTGGGGCTGGGTGGTCTGAAATAGGGACCAGTCCCCCTTGCTGAGGGTCTCACAGTCTCACACATTCTTGTTCACGGACGTCCAAACTCGTTCTCAGCAGCCCTGTAAATACCAAATGGAGGAAAGGGAGAGCTTCAGGCTGGTAGCAGATATTCAGGCCCTTTCTACCATTCGAACTGCTCATCTAAGTCCCTGTAATACTTCAGGGAAGGGAGGTCACAGCCATCCCCCTCGCCCTCATCTCTTACTGCACAACCCTGTCTGCTCAAGAGAGTTGGGCTCAGTTCCAACTCTCCTGTCCCCCAGTTCCTCTTCTGGGTGCCCCCACCACTCATCCCCCACCCCCACAGTCTTTTCTGGACCCAAAAAAGTGATCTGAGACCGTGCCTTTCAAAGATACCGGGTGACAAGAAGTGAGCCAATCGCGGGTCTATTCTCAGCCCAGGCACTGACCTGAGACCTGCATTTCCTCATCTGCTAAAGATGGAGGGTCCAACCAGATGCTCTGTGCGGTTCCTTTCAGCCCCTTTAGAACCTGCCTCCTCTGCTAGGCGACATGGGCAGTTCTCCACACCCAAAGCCCAGGGAGCAAGAATGACTAATAAGCCCAGGGCTCTGGCCAGAAAGCAGAGAACACCACATCTAGTCACTTGCTTGGGAACGATTTCCTAGCATTTATCTTCCCTCACAGCTTTCCCAACTCAATGGCAGCTAGTGGCGGCCACACACGGTGTGCTTGGTCCCTCCCTGGTGGGGTGCCAGCTATCCTTACTGTACATTTTTCCATCTGGCCCTGGCCCTGCCATCCATCAACCCTCACACCCCTCTCAGCCTGTGTCAATTCCATGGCAGACATGGGAGGGCTTAGAGCTGTTGACGGGACATTCCCTCGGCAGAAGGCAGCAAAGCTAGCACATCTGTCACTCGTCACCCGCCCCCAAGAAGGGCTGAGCAGAGGCAGCTGACCTGGTTCTCCAGGGGAACCCAAGGTACACCACCTTCTTCCATAAGCTGTTCCTTTGGGAAGGAACAAATACTGAACAGTGGCAAAGGCTTTGTGGAATATGGCCTCTCCTATTGGTCCCCACATGGGTCAGGACATTAAAGGCTCCAAGAAGCGCCTGCCTTAAAGCAGTCCCCTATCGTGTAGCTACGGAATCCTTGCGTAGTCTAACCCTGGACATTCTAAGACCTGTGCTTCAAGCACCCACCTTCCAGGCTTCCACTCGGGAGTGAGAACACAAGTGGAGATGGTTCTCATAGCCTCTCCCCTCCTGACAGTCCTGAGTCACCCCTGGAGGCCCCACTACAGATCCCATGCGTGGCTGGAGCAGACCAGGACCAGGGCTTGGGTGGGGAGGCACAGAGGAGGGATCTGTGCTGCTGTTAGTGACTAGGGTGCACTGGTTTGTGTCCTACAGGTGAAAGCTGGCCTAGGGGTCAATGTCATTGGCCTAGTAATCGTGATGGTGGCCATCAACACATGGGGAGTTAGCCTCTTCCACTTGGACACTTTTCCAGCCTGGGTAAGGGTCAGTAATATCACTGACCAGGCCTAACACAAGTGGGCAAACGGCCCGAGCGAAGGAGCTGCCAAGCATCTAAGAGGCTGACCAACAGGCCGAGAGCCGCCAGGACGAGCGACCAACTGACACCAGAAGATCCTGGAAGATCCTGCTGTCCACCGCCTCAAGTGCAGCAAGCCTCCGACAACCTGAACACATGCTTGGATGTTAGTGCCCTCTTCCCTGCCCTCCGTCCTTAGCACCACCCACGTTAGTACCTGTTTTTGCCAACGGAAAGAAATCTCAGGAGGATCTCCAGGTTTCTGAGAAAAGTCTGCATAGCATTCAGCGCTGACTTTGCAGCGAGCCTGTAGAAGAGCAGTGCACAGCCTGAGTGCCAGCATGCCACCACGCCCCCTCCTGGGAAGCCACACCCAGCATCCCAGAGGCAACCTACCAGAGCCATCAACTCTGCCTGGGAGTGGTGCTTTGTTGATTTTGTGCACGGTTAGTGAGATGTGCCCCAAGGTATTAGAGAAGCCAGAGAGAGGTTCCTCTTTGGGTCTGGGAATGCTCTTTGCTCAATGCCATTTCAGCTTACGGAAGGGTTCAAAGGAATGCTCTACCTTTGCGTAGTGAGGGGGGGGAGGGGACGACACCTGTCTCTCTCATCACCTACCACTCATCATCGATACCACTGCATTGGTTCTGTCGGGAGGGAGAAAACTCTCTCCTGTCTTACTCATGAGGCCAAAGCTAGGATTCGGACCACAGTACTATTCATGGTGTCTGACTAGCTTTCTTCTGGATGTAATGAGGAGTTCATGCCTGAGAAGACAAGTACAGAAGGTTCCAAACACATTAGTCGCTTTCTACCCCTTGAGGGGAGAGAAGATGTCTTCTGTTCCTTAAAGTTTCCAGCAACTTACACAATAAACTAACTAAATGTTGCCCGTGAGAAAAATCACTCTGGAAATTAAGGCCTCCTGAAAACCCTGCCATTTTCTCCACAGCAGGTGTCCTCGCTATATGACTGGATGTAGCTCCCAACCACCCTGGCTTGTAAGCGATACATATTTCTGATTTCCACCACCAGTTCCTTGCTAAATAGGTCTTATTGGAAAAGGAATACCCCACAGTTACTACATTCTTGTAATTGATTTTAAGTTACTATTGATAGCATGGGCAGTCTTCCCACAACTTATCAATAAAGTCATTTCCTTAGTTTATCAAGTACCTGTGAATTATAAAATTTCTTTTGTGCCACCCAACACCTGCATGCTCTGATCACAGCACAATGACCAGATTTAACCATGGCTAGTACTGCTGCCGCCCTATCAGTTGGCTTAGGCCGCATTATTTGACTACTTATAAAAATAAAGAACGACTGAGCCCAAATAAAATACTAGTATTATATAGCTCATTGGATCGGGTCAGCATCTCTATAGTTATTTTACTATAAAATGTTCAGATCATGATCATCTTGTCACAGCTGCCGAGCTGTCAAATGTCTGACCCATTATGGAACTAGACACCAAGCCTCTAGTCACATGAAGACAAAGGTGCACATAAGGCTCTGGGGGATCCCTGGGTGGCGCAGCGGTTTGGCACCTGCCTTTGGCCCAGGGCACGATCCTGGAGACCCGGGATCAAATCCCACGTCGGGCTCCCGGTGCATGGAGCCTGCTTCTCCCTCTGCCTGTGTCTCTGCCTCTCTCTCTCTCTCTCTCTGTGACTATCATAAATAAGAAAGAAAGAAAGAAAGAAAGAAAAGAAAGAAAGAAAGAAAGAAAGAAAGAAAGAAAGAAAGAAAGAAAGAAAGAAAGAGAAAGAAAGAAAGAAAGAAAAAGAAAGAAAGAAGAAAGAAAGAAAGAAAGAAAGAAAGAAAGAAAGAAAGAAAGAAAGAAAAAAAGAAAGAAAAACTGGGACATAGAAGTCTATTAAAAAATAATAATAATAAGGCTCTGGGAGTATAAATAAGTAAAAAGAGAAAGAAAAGGTGATATAACTTAGAATTATGGGCCATTGTTCAGCATTTGAGAACCTCATTCACTGCTAAAGGGAAAGCCTAAAACTCCCCTCGGCAGTTGCTTGCCAGATGCTCCAAGGAGCTAGTGTATTCAACCGGCCAATTTAGAAGGAGCATTTATTTCAGTCTGGTCTACTGGCTGCCCTAAAGAGCAGCTCTATTCTTTCCCAAAGCCAGAGTTTAAGCTAACCAAGACTGCTCATTCCGGGGACAGGAAATGTCAGATATGACTAACAATTCCTTGTCATCTAAAATACTCCACTCCATGGGTGGACAAGAACTAATGGCTCTTCTTAGTAGTCTCAGGTTCCTGGCAAATATAATTTTTTATCTTCTAATAGCACAACACTATATGGATGGAAAGCAGTAAGGATCATCTTATACCACCTCATTTTATAGATGACTGAGAAACAACATTAAGTATAGTTGCACCTTCTTTTCAAGTCAATTATGTACCAAAGTTGCTTAATTGCCTTTGAAATTCCTTTAAGTCACCCCTGAAGTACATGGTATATAATATTTTATATTAGCATTTACATGGCAAAGATTCATGAACCATCTTTTGGTAAATAAACTATAGCTAGTGTTCCCTCCAATGTCAGAATAAATCTGTTTCTTCAGCTGAATACCAAATAACTTAGTTGGCTTCACGCTTAGAGGGGTCTGAAAAAGTCCATCTAAACATAAGAGTCATCCTCAGTATAGCAACATGTTCAAACTATCAGCACCCAAGTACGCAAGTAAGCCACCCTGCGGCTGCCTGCACTAACTGAATTCTGAGCATAACTGCCTGGCTACTTACCTGGTGACTCTTTCTTGTCCTGATCCTGTACAACTGTACATACAGAAATGATGCAGCCACACTGCACCTTTCATAAGACCTTGCCACAGGGGCAATGATACAAACACACCCACGAATCAGGTTTTGCAATGCCCCACCCTGCTCACTTTCCATAAAACTCCACTGTTCTGTGGTTTCCCAGTGCCTTGCAAAAAAATGTATTTTACTAAATATGCTGCATGGAGATTTAGGAAAGGTATAAACTAAACATGAAAATCTATGTGTCACAAGCTCCCCTATTAAGACCAGGCAAGATCTCAAAGTATGTTCCCTTCACCACCCTGTTGCCTTCCACAGAGCCTTAAGAGTCACTAGGGAAAAAAGAACTCATTCATGAGTAAGAAATGGAAATACTATGTGCAAAGTCCAAGATGGGAAGTTTAAGAAAAGTCTCATTTGCTCCAGTACAGTCCATGGTGTTCCTTCCGGGGGAATAACAGAAAAAGCATTAAAAAGGCAAGAGACCTCAGCAGAAAAACAAACATCAGCATAGTATCTAGGGAGTGAACTGCTTAGTGGAAATGAAATATGCATGTGTACATATGTTCTATGAACCCATATGCACAATTACAAAAACCATACACTGTCACTTTCTCTAAACTCATACAAATGAAAATTGAGTAAATGGGTTAGAAAAAATGAAATTCTTCCTCTAAATCAGAAAAAGTCATTGCTTAATAGCATTAAACACCAACTCAGGGCAGCCCGGGTGGCTCAGTGGTTTAGCGCTGCCTTTGGCCTGGGGTGTGATCCTGGAGACTCGGGATCAAGTTCCATGTCGGGCTCCCTGCATGGAGCCTGCTTCTCCCTCTGCCTGTGTCTCTGCCTCTCTCTCTCTGTGTGTCTCTCATGGATAAATAAATAAATAAAATCTTAAACAAAAAGCAAAAAAAACACCAAATCAGAAGAAATGTCTAACGGCATCACCTGGTAACTTCAAGTCCTAAAATATAGCCCCTTCTGAGGATTTTAAATAAGGTTGTTTGGGTTTTTCTCTCCTTTTGTTTGGGTGGATTACAGGTTAAGGACAAACTTTCAAGTTCATAGTGTTTATGAAGTTCCTAGCTAGCATCAATCCTAAAGTATTTTGCACCTGTGGGTAATCTTCCTTTTATGATCAGGTTTGGAAAAAAGTTTCCTTAAATTACATTAACAGGGGTTTTCAAACAATTTTAAAAGAAGAGGAGCATGTGCTGCAGTGATTCTTGCCAGACCCCCGATGGTTTGTGAGGCAAAAGTCCCTACAAAACACCAGGGGGATGTAATTCTAGTGCCACAACCACAATCGCTGCAACCCTCACCCACATTACAAAGTTTCAACTAACCCTAAAATTTGTGATGGTGCTGAGCCCCTCCTACATCTTAGTGAGGATAATCTCACCTGAGAACTGAGCCCCCTTTCACTGCTGCAAGAACCTAACGTTAAAAGAGGTTATCTGAACAGTGACCATTAAAGCAGCCTGTGTTCACTGTGTCACAGGTCACATGAAGGTGAATGCAAGAACAGGATTTGCTGGATGGCTCCTACTGGTAGAAAGGAGCCCATTAGCAAGGGCAAGAGTCACTCCTGAGGGACGTCCTACATCCAAATGAGCTTTGTTTATGAAGTATAATATAGAGATTCCTAATCTAACATCTAAGTTGTCTTCATCCCCAAAAAGGCCACTCTGGGAGACAACACACAAGCAATCCTGCTACCCTGTGACAAGGAATCCCTCTAAGCTTGTAGCATTTTTACATATATCCTCAAAGGTAGTAAAACTTTATCTTTCAAGGCTGTATGTAGTTCATTCTGCTAACAATTCAGTCATTCAAGATCAAATCTTGTGAGCCAGGAGGTATAATCAAGGTAGATACTCTAGATTTTCATCAGCAACCAAGACAGTGACCACTGAATGACACATTTTGTATGGTTCATAAACTGGTTCCAAAGTGACTGCAGAAAAATAAAGTATTCTGACCAAAAGCAGCATGTTCGGACCAATATCTATTATTTATTGGCAATTTGCAAAGCACTGTGCAACACATCACATGGATTACCTCAACCGTTTCTCAGGGGAGCTATATGAGGTAGATACTGCATCCACACCTTAGAGAATACAACAGCATCAGAAAAAGAAGACCCTTGCCAGTGATCTCACTTCTAGGGTGAAGGCAAACCACAATATGCTGCTAATCTGTATCACACACCAGCATAAGCTGCCAAGGATAAAACCTATACCCATGTATGAGAGATCCCTGTTTCCAAAGAGAAACAGAACCCCTTTGTTTTAGAATCACATAGAACCAATGTCATCACTGTCTGAAAAAAGCATCTCTAAATTACTCTTCCAGTTCACCGATTCTAAAATGTTTTCAGAAATAGCATTATCAAAGACCTGCCTAAGTCCCCTAACACAAAACACACAAATGGGATTTTATCTAGTTAGTGCAAATTTCACTTTTAGGATTTAGCTTATAGCTATACCCTGCACAGATATGTATAACTTTAGGCTCAAGACTATCACTGTAACAGCAAAAGACAGGAAACCTAACGTTCATCAGTAACAGATTAAGTAAGTTATGGTATATCCATTCAATAGAATCTCATGTAGCCAAGAAAGAGAAAGAGGTTTCTTGTTCCTTACATACTGATATGGAATGACCTCCATTAAAAAAAAAAAAAAAAAGGCCAGGCATAAACTGAGTAGTTTATGATCTGTGTAAACACCCCCTTTACACACATGTATTTGGTCAGGCACAGAATCCTTCTCAATGTATACAGGGGACTGTTGTTGACAGTGCATGCGTCCAGGAAGAGGAACTAGCTGCTCAGGGACAGAGTATGAGGGGCCCTTTATTCTGATCACTTTTGTATCCTGACCCATGGAAAAAGTGATGTATACAAACATTTTTTTTAACTTAAAAAAATGGACTAATTATACACTTGACAAATTACAATGGTGATTCTTTCTTTTTTTTTTTTTAAAAGCTTTAGTAGAAGTTTACTGAATACACTGACAGGAAGCAGTGGGCACCACAACAAAGGAAGGACTGTCTGCCAAGAGGCAATGGTGAGGGGCTATATTTACAGGACGAAATAAGGGACTATGGGGCCGGATGGAATTCTCCCTTTTTTGGCAATCTTAGGAACAGTGACTGGTTTTAAGTGGCCCATTGGTCAGTTAGGGCCTATGGCTTAATGAGACTGCGTCAGCTCAGTGGTCACTGTGGGCCCTTTTGCCTTGCTCAGGTCTCTATTGCTCAAGCCTGTTGCCTAAAAGTGGCCTCTATGTTCCATCCTGATTTATCGACAATGACAAATCTTTGGCATTTGAGTGGAGGTCTCATCTTCAGTAGCTTCTTCCTAAATAAGGGATGTAGAGATATCCCTATGTATGGGTCAACATACAATGGTGATTTCTGAATACAGGAAACAAAACAAAACAAAACCCCTCAAAGTTTCTTATGAGAATTGCTATAAAGTTACAATGTAAATACATTTTTTTAATGTGAAGAGGCATAAAATTTCCTTTACAACGTGTCATTTATCCATCATGTAATGTCAAATGCACCTGTAATCCCTTAAGGTGAGTATGATTCTTTGGAGGGAGAAGAGCCAAATTAAAGACATGATTCAGGGAAAGATATGCATACTAGACTGAATTCTTCAGAGGATAAAGGTCATTATTTTACACATTTTTAAACTCCCTAGTTCCTGACAGGTCCCTCAGAATATAGTTCCCCAGTTAATGAGCAGTAAATCAATTTACTGATTAAATTAGTAACTATGGAGCTGCCTGAAAACAGCATAAAATAAATGGGATAATTCCAGAGTAACTGGCTTCTGGGCTTTAATTTTAAGGACTTTACAATTGGAGAAGGACAAACATTATGTGGTCTCATTCATTTGGGGAATATAAAAAATAGTGAAAGGTAATAAAGGGAAAAGGAGAAAAAATGAGTGGGAAGTATCAGAAAGGGAGACAGAACATGAAAGACTCCTAACTCTGGGACATGAACTAGGGGTAGTGGAAGGGGAGGTGGGCGGGGGGTGGCGGTGACTGGGTGACGGGCACTGAGGTGGACACTTGACGGGATGAGCACTGGGTGTTATTCTATATGTTGGCAAATTGAACACCAATCAAAAATAAATTTAAATCAAAAAAAAATTTTTAAGGACTTTAAAACAATCTAATTTCTGGGTGTTATACTGTATGTTGGCAAACTGAATTCAAATACAATTTTAAAAAGTTAACCCCCCCCCAAAAAAAACAACATAATTTAGTACCAAATGTTTAAACAGCAATTATAATTGCTAAACTGTGAAATTAGCATTATTTATGTCTGATCAGCTATACAAAACTCATCAATTTTTCTGTAGAAAAGAGTAGAAATTCCAAAGAATAAAGAAGAGACTACTAATTAAAGGTCACGTTTACTAATCTAGCACCATAATTCCAGTCAGGCCTTCTCAAGTGGCTGGGAGGAAGAAGGGATGAGGTGAGGAAGATGGAAAGGGTGGTTCTTAACTTCTGGCCCCATCTGTGCTCTCAGGCAAGGCAGGATCTAGCAGAGAGGAAAATGGTTGAGGCTGGAATTTAAAACAAAAGCTTCTGGTTCAGATAAGGAGGCCCTCAAGAACAGCAGAATCAATGTATCCAAAAGGCAGTGCTGGAATTCGCCTCATGAACTAGGGGGTTTCTTCTTGGCATCCAAGTCCTTTTTAATTTCTTCTAGTTTTTTAGCCACGTTTGGTATCTTTAAAGAGAAAAAGAAAATATTGTTATTTTACATCTACCTCATCAATAGTCTTCCACTTATAAAGGGTTGTGGTACAAGTCTTTATTTTCCTCTGAAAGGGACCTACCAAATAGAATTTCTTAGCCTCCTAACCACATAAGAAGGATCTCAGCAGTTGTAAATTGACATATGCTCCCTTCCTGGAAGCCAAGGAAGCCCGATTCTGACTTCTACTTTTACCTACTCACTCAGCACCTCAATCTAGTGCTAAGTAGAAGCTGTACTTATAAACCATAAAGGTGATATAAATTAATAAAGCTCCTGCCTAGAAAACCACATAACTCAAGTGAAGGTTGGTAAAGAATTTCTTTTGTCACACTAAAACCTTCACCACAAACAAATCAAAAGTTAGTATCTTGTTTCTCTTCTTTCCCTCTTTCCGCCCTTCCTTCCCTTCCCTCTCTTTACAACAACCTTCAGGAATCCCCATTCATGGGTGATTTGGTCATGGGGTTTTCAACTCCCCATCTATAAAATGAGGCTACTATAACTCAGCACTCGCAAAACTCTGTCCTTAACTGCGTGAGCTGCATGATAAAGATCCATCACTAAAATTCTCAGTCATTACTACTGGGTAGTGGGGGCTGAAAATCAGATTATCTAATTAGTCTTTACATTTCCACTTACACATAATTTTCCGTAGAACTGTAAGAAAACTCTAACTTAGTAATTCCTTTAGGCTAACAAGTACCAGCTCAGGATCACAAGACCATCTAAACTGATGGGATTTTGCCCTCTTGTGGTGACAGGGAGGACAGATGCTTCTATGAGGTGTATTTTTGAACAACGGAAAATCTTTCTACAACATTCAGGACATTTTCCTCAGATCTATGGACGTCATTTACGCTGGACGCATAACTGACTTTAACAAAGACAAGTCACTACAAATTAGTGACACGGAATCAGGGAGGACATGGATATGGTCACTTACGTCATAGTTCTGAGCCAGATACATTCCAACCACGTTGCCAAAAGTAAATCCAAGCTGAAAGAGTAGAACAGAAGAGTTATACTAGATACCAAGTTCTGTGCCATCCAATACCAAACTATACAGACGACAGTCTAAGGCACTCAGGACAGTTCAAGACCCCAGGGTCCAGTCTAGGGCTGGGCAGCATGAGATTCAGTTTTCTTCTATAAAATAAACAGAAATACTCTCCCAAAAGGTTGAAGAGCATACAATAGTGAGAATACATGAACGGCAGCACTTAACAAACCTACCCTAGATTCTCCTTGTCCCCTCACAACCTCCATAAATACTTAACTGTCAGTTCTAGAAACCCAAGCCAGAGTGATGATTTTGTTGTTAAAAGCAACCTGGTTTTAGTCTTTCTTTCTTTTTTAGTTTTAAATATTGTTTACTTCTTGCTACATCAAGTAAAAGACATCCGACTAAAAAATGTACTTCTCTATATTGTATTATCTTGGAAAATGAAGAGATTTTTCACAGTTTAATCTCTTCAGACCTAAGGCCCACAGTAATGAGGTGACTTTTTCAGGGTCATTCACAACAAAGGAACACAGAACAACCTCAATTAGATTCACACTCAAAAACGAAGATGTGTCACGACGGAAAAGCATAGGAACCTCTGACACATCTGAGATGGCATATGGTTCAGCGCTCAGGCAGGGGTGGAACCTAAGGAGCAGAACACTTGAGACCCGTGGGTCTTACAGATTCCCAACCAGCACTTACTCAGGACAGACAGGCATAAATTTTTTTGAAAGATTTTTATTTATCTGAGAGAGCGAGCAGGCACACAGGCAAGAGGAGCGACAGGCAGAGGCAGAGGGAGAAGCAGGCTCCCCACTGAGCAGGGAGCCTGATGTGGGGCTGGATCCCAGGACCCCGGGGTCACGACCTGAGCCGAAGGCGGACCCTTAACACACTGAGCCACTCAGGGATGATTTTTAGAGAACTATAAATGCTTATCCCATTGGGTGACTATTTTCCTGAACAAAAACGGTTTCATGGAAATTTAAAGCCCTCCACTCAAAAGAACCAAAGCTCATTAAACTTTGAGTTCTAATGATGACCTGTGATTCCCTGGAGTTTTTTCCTCCAATAATTAAGAATCTCCAATGGGATGCCTAATTTCTAATTTCATAAATTCAAACTTGCATCTGTTCCTCTTTTAAAAAAATCAGAAGAGTTATACTGGGTGTATAGAGTATACTGCATGTAAGTTTTTCTCTCTAATCAGCACTGTTCCTATTGAATACACAGCAGACGTTACCAAAAAAGGGTGGCACTTAACACCATCAGTTCTACGTGATGTGGTCTGTCTCTTCAGGTCAGAGATACATGGAGAAACAAAACGCAGCCTTCCTGAGCCTTAAACACCAAAAGCACAATTTAAATTGGTTGTTAGGGGCAGCGGGTAGCTCAGCGGTTTGGCGCCACCTTCAGCCTGGGGTCGGATCCTGGAGACCAGGGATCGAGTCCCAAAAGTCAGGCTCCCTGCATGGAGCCTGCTTCTCCCTCTGCCTGTGTCCCTGCCTCTCTCTGTGTCTCTCATGAATGAATAAATAAATGAAACAATTAAAAAAAAATAAATTGGTTGTTAGTTAAAGAGCATAAAAGAGTCTCTACTCAGAGTCCGTTTTCTAATCATTTGATCAATCAGGCACATTTTGTGAAATAACAGTTTTACCAATGTGGCGCCAAGAAGCAAAAGGATTTTTTTTCACTCCAGTCAGTTGAAACTAGGTAGACAGAGGTTTTCCAAATCCAGAAAGAGTATTAAATTTACTTGTAAGAAGAGGGGGAAAAAAAAAACCTGAGAATTTGAGCTCTAACACCAAGCACAGAAAACAGAAGGGTGAAAATTTTCAAGAAAAAGAGATTTCGGATTCTACCGCTCACCATCTAGCTATGTAGCTGTAGCTGATTTGAGTTTCCTGATCTATAAAACATACAATGTTCCTTCCTGCTCCAACAATCTAAGATTCCTGGTTCTTACCACGTGTGTCTCAACATAAATATGGAGTATCTCATGTGGCTTCACTTTGGCAATTTCACCAGCACATGAAAAAAAACAGTAGTTATTTTAAAATACAAAACAGTTATTTAAAAAAAAAAAAAAAACAAACAAAGGCACCTGGGTGGCTCAGGGGTTGAGCATCTGCCTTCCGCTCAGGTCATTATCCTGGAGTCCCACATCGGGCTCCCTGCATGGCCTGCTTCTCCCTCTGCCCTGTGTCTCTGCCTCTCTCTTCTCTCTCTCTCTCTGTGTGTGTCTCTCATGAATAAATAAAATCTTTTTTAAAAACTCCCCACAGGGGATCCCTGGGTGGCTCAGCAGTTTAGCACCTGCCTTCAGCCCAGGATGTGATCCTGGAGTTCTGGGATCGAGTCTCACATCAGGCTCCCTGCATGGAGCCGCTTCTCCCTGCCTGTGTCTCTGCCTCTCTCTCTCTCATGAATAAACAAATAAAATCTTTGAAAAAAAACCCCACAAAAACCACAAAACTACAGGCCTCTAGACAAGTCATATCCAATTCTAGTTTCAGAACACTTCCAGGTCTACCACTGGGATTTTGTAAAATTAAATATACAACATAAGAGAAATGTCACATATTAAGTGAAATATTGAGGAGAATGCATAAGGCCAGAAAAGCATTTATGGGTAATTCATGGGATGCTCACTAGGCAAGTTTACACAGAAAAAAACCTATAAAATCTAAATCTGAGGAATGGTGACTCATTAGTCTGACAAGTTAGACTGGAGCCAGATTATAGGTCTTGAATGACTCTGCACCTCTCTGCAGGCCAAGACTGTTTCATTTTTTTTTTTCAGGCCAAGACCTGACGAGGAGTCCATCCAGATGGCTGTATGCCACCTCCACAGTGCCCCGTCGACATCACTGATTCCCCCACAGGATTCCCTGCAGAGAAGGTAGTGCAGAAAAAACAAAAATGACTGCTTCACAAGCTCAACACTAAATAAATTACTATCACATTCTTTCTGCAGTCATTTTGAGACTTTAGGAATATGCAGCTGCTTCTCACAAGCACAGGGGGGACAATCAACAGTAAAACACCAGGAATGTGGGGACTGAGGAGTGATATGAGCAAAGTGGTTAGAGGACAAATGGGTGGGAGGAGGAGGCTGCAGCTACAAGCCATGGGAGGAAAGTCTGGACTGGCCCAGGGCAGCGCGCAGAAGAGATAGCATTTTCCAGCTCTACAAACACACCATACACTTAGAATCAGTGAAGCTCCTCCATCCATTACCTACAATTCTGAAACCCAAAACTCTATTCAAACTGTTTTGCTATAATTTAATTGGCAGCACAATCACACCTGACTTGAACTGATATGCTATTTATATTCTATCACATTTCAGCATGAATACTCACTTTTTGTTATAGAAAAAGCAATCTTTATTTTTTAAAAACAATCTTTATTTTTTAAAAAGATTTGATTTATTGGGCAGCCCGGGTGGCTCAGTGGTTTAGCGCCTGCCTTCAGCCCAGGGCGTGATCCTGGAGACTCAGGATTGAGTCCCGTGTCAGGCTCCCTGCATGGAGCCTGCTTCTCCCTCTGCCTGTGTCTCTGCTTCTCTCTCTTTCTCTCTCTGTGTCTCTCATGAATAAATAAATAAATAATCTTAAAAAAAAAGATTTAAGATTTGATTTAGTTATTCATGAGAGACACACACACACAGAGAGAGAGAGGCAGAGACACAGGCAGAGGGAGAAGCAGGCCCCACGCAGGGAAGCCTGATGTGGGACTCGATCCCAGGTCTCCAGGACCATGCCCTGGGCCGAAGGCAGGCACTAAACTGCTGAGCCATCCGGGGATCCCCAGAAAAAGCAATCTTTAAAAATAGGATCCTACCGTATTGGAGAATACATGTAACAAATATTTTAATGTATGTCATTACAGAGTGCTATCCCAGAGTGCTACTGGGTTAAATAACAGGTATATGCAGCTGAAATCTTTCTAAAATCTTAAAAAAAAAAAAAAAAAAAACACCTCAAATACCTCTGGGCCTCAAAGGCTTTGATTAAAAGACTGAAGACCCTTCCTTATATACTAAAAATAAATTCATATTCAGCCCTGTGAAGGGATTACAGAACAGCGTCTACACATCTTAAGTTTATACAACGTATAGGAAGAAAAGCTACATATAAATAAAACAGTTATGTAACAAATGAAGGCAGCAGCCAGTACAGGACCCTGAATGTAACAGATGTGGGAAAAATCAGAAAAGGGTCATGCATTATGTGGCCAAACGGATGAAACAGAAGTGATTTCTTCTAAGAAACCATATCTGAAAGAGAGCAGTGTACCTCAGTATGTTATTAAAGCCTCTATGCCAAGGAAGAGTTTAAATTTAAACTGAGAAGGGAACTGAACGTGGAGAAGAATCAAGGCATAAGGTATGAAAGCAGAGGGGATGAGTTGACTAAAACTGGACTGATCAGAAGAGGATGTGAATTTTGAAATGGAGAGAATGAAGTCTGGCGCCCTGGGCAGGGCTGGCTGAGGGACCTCAGGAAGCAGGCAAAGAAGTTTAGTTCACATGCAATCTTGGTAGGGAGCCAATGGCTACTCTTTACCACCACCAACAGGATGAAAGCACTGCTCTGGAAGTATTCACCTAGCAGCTCTACTCAAAAAAAGGCTGAATAATGAGTAGGTACCCATCAGGCAACGCCCAGAATCAAGCAAACATGACTGACTCATTTTTCTTCTTAAAAGTCAATGATGAGGGATCCCTGGGTGGCGCAGCGGTTTGGCGCCTGCCTTTGGCCCAGGGCGCGATCCTGGAGACCCAGGATCGAATCCCACATCGGGCTCCCGGTGCATGGAGCCTGCTTCTCCCTCTGCCTATGTCTCTGCCTCTCTCTCTTTCTCTGTGACTATCATAAATAAATAAAAATTAAAAAAAAAAGTCAATGATGATTCCTAAATAGGCTCTAATCTATAGAGAACTGATGGTTACCAGAGAGGAGGTGGGTAGGGGAATGGGGGAA